TTTTCTCAATTTTGTAAACCCCATCAACACCCTCGTATACTAAGATATAAAAGGCCACGTCATAACAAAATGTAAAAAGTTCAAACGAGAAAAACCACCGAAGATTTATTATAAACAATAAACGAACAATAGAAACCAATGACCTCCATTGAATTACAGGGAAACAGAATGATTGTGTGCCCTATATGTGTGAGTGTCCTCACGATGCGATCGATAGTGGGCGAAATATAAAAAGTTGATTATTAGGATAAGCTTTTTACCAAGACAAATACGTAAAGCATGTGGCTTGGTGAAGCATATTTCCGATAGAATTTGATTTTCATACAAGTGAGAGGTTTAGCTAGCTATAAAACCAGGTTCATACCACCATTTTCTACATAAGAAAATGCCTGAACCAAGTCAGGAATATGACAGTTGTTATCCATTCGTTCGATGTGTTTGAGCTTTTGATTTTGCCATTTGATTGGGGACTTTCCTTTTTTAAATTTCCTCGGAGTTCAGTATATTTGTGATTTTACTTTTTCCTAGCAATGAATCACTGTAGCATTTGATTTGTGTGTTCCACGGAATATTTTCCGGGATACCCCTGATTTGACGTATGTTCAGCCAGAAGGTAATTACTATTTTAAAAATTCAGATACTTTTCATAAATTAAAGCCATGTTGCGTCAATATTTTCGACTGTTTAACGACACCTGCTACAAGTGAGTCAACACCTTTCATTTCTTCTTGTAAACATAAAAAAGGAAAAAGGAGAACATGTAAGACACGTGATATGTTAATCACGACTCCTGATTTTACCAGTAATTTTACATCTAAAACATATTTTACTAAATCTTTCGTGCCTCTGGACTGTTCCACGGACAATGTTGTGTACGGAATCGAATGTACTCTGTGTGGACTACTTTATGTTGGTGAAACTCGTCAAACTTTGCGTAAAAGAATGAATCAACACCGGTCTGATAATAAAGATCCGCAATTTAGGGTTCTTTATAACCATTTTAATCAACCGGACCATGATCCTTCTTTATCTATGAAAGTACGCATCATCGAGAAAATTTATCACCACACAAATAGCCCTGTACTAAGTACTCCTTTCCGTAAAGATAGAGAAAATTTCTGGATAAGGGAATTAGGGACTGTAATGCCATATGGTTGCAATGATAATGTCAAAGGAGTAGGAAATTTGTCAAGTCCTGCCTGCAGTGATGTTAATGTAATGAGTTTATTTAATACTACCTTACGACAACAACGTAGTCATGGGCAAAAACATTGCCATCGGCCTAATGTAAAAAAGTCTTCAAAATCTAGATCACCCTCTGGGAGCTTTGATGACCTTCTTTCACATCTTCATCATCCACTAGGGTTACATTACATTAGAACTATTCTTTTTTCACTGCCTGTTAATTTTCTCAAATGTTCGAGAGATTATGCACTTGACAAGGGATGCATAAATACATTTTCTCCAATATACAGACTTGTCAGTATTATATGTGATGTAGCTCTTTTCCGTCTTTTCAAACCAGTAAGATCGGAACCTTTACATGAGGAAAAGATGAAATTCTTTCCTGTTCACTTTACCAATAGAGGAATTGGTGCAATCAACATCTGCAACGTTCTACATCACAAGGAGGTAACATCTAAAATTCCTCTTTATTTTCAAAATCAGTCTGTTCCTATTGTATCCTACAGTTACACAAAAACCATTGCACCCAAAGTATTTAACTATAAACAAGCATTGCAGGACCTTGACTTAGAACAATACCTAAAAAACCCTCTGACATGTGACTGTTCCCACTCGCCTTATAATTACAGCCCCTCTGGCCATGTTATAACTGGGAATCTACACATAATTCAACATGAAAATCTCCTAAAGGTGATTTTTCATGGTCCTAAGTTTAGAGAACCCCAACACATCAATTGGAACCATAACTTCAAAATAATTATGAATTTCATTGAGGACTACGCCAGAGCATGGGCTAAACGAGAAGAAGTTGAACTGGACACTTTGTCAGAATGGGTAAAAACTGTCAGGTCTCTGATAAAACGTCGCATTCATAAGTTGAAAAACTGTGTGAATGATCGACCAAAATCCGTTTTCAGAGACAAAGAGGCCGTGAAATGTCTATCATCTCTTCATGATAAGTATGTTGTTGTTCCTGCGGACAAAGCTTCAAATAATATTGTCTTTGTATGTAAATCGTATTACTACGAATGTTTTATAAAAGAATTAGGAATAAATGAGCACTCAGGTAATCCCACATACAAAGACATATCATTTGACAAGGATGAGATTTTGGCAAATCATAAGTCCTTCATGGCGTCAATGAACATTACATTGAACAACAAATCGGAGGACTTACCTTGTTTGTATTGGATACCCAAGCTTCACAAAATTCCGTACAAACAACGGTACATTGCCGGCTCATCTGCATGTTCCACTAAAGAATTGTCCATTAGATTGACTAAAATTCTGTCCGCAGTGAAAGAGTGTCTTCAGAAATACTGTAAAACTGTTTACTCGCGTAGTGGTATTAACCATATGTGGATTCTTAAAAATTCTAAAGAACTTCTAGATAATTTTAAATCTCGGTCCCATTCTGAAATAAGTTCTATCAAAACTTTTGATTTTTCAACCCTGTATACCACCATTCCCCATATGAAATAGAAAATCGCCTGACAGAAATAATCTACAATGCCTTTCAACATAAAAATGGTAGCATACGCTATAAATTTATTACTTTGGGATATCATAAGGCATATTTTGTTAATAGTGAACAAAAGGGTAAAACATGCTACACAGAGGAACACGTGATCAGTATGCCGGAGTTTCTTATCGACAACATATTTGTTGAATTTGGAGGTAGACTTTTTCAACAAATTGTCGGCATTCCTATGGGAACGAACTGTGCGCCTCTCCTTGCCGACCTCTTCTTATTTTCATATGAATCGGAGTTCCTTCAGACACTTGTCAAAAACAAGAAGATCAAAGAAGCCAGATTATTTAATTTAACTTTCAGATATATTGATGATGTTCTTTCCATTAACAATCCGAACTTTTCTGATTGGGTTCCATTAATATACCCCCCAGAACTAGAAATTAAAGAAACAACAGACACGGCTTCCTCCGCCTCATTTTTAGACTTATATCTCGAATTTGACATACACAGTCATCTCAGTACCAGAATCTATGACAAACGAGACGATTTTAATTTTGAAATTATAAATTTCCCCCACCTTAGTAGCAATATACCTTCTTCACCTGCATATGGGATATACATTTCCCAACTTATTCGATATTCAAGAGCTTGCAGCTCCTACTCAGACTTTGTAAAACGTCACCAGAGTCTGAGCAGAAAGTTGATGAACCAGGGGTATGTCAAAGAACGTCTCGTCCTTTTTCTAAAACAGTTCATCGGAAGGTACCAAGACCTTGTTGATAAATATTCCGTATCAACTTCACAAATAATATATGATGGTTTTGATGTATAGATTCTGCGTACTGACGTTATTTATCATCTTAACAGCGTGTTATATTGTTCTTTTATTTGTCTTTGTTCAGTTATCGGAAGGTACCAAGACCTTGTTGATAAATATTCCGTATCAACTTCACAAATAATACATGATGGTCTTGATGTATAGATTCTGGGAACTGACGTTGTTTATCATCTTAACAACGTGTTATATTGTTCTTTTATTTGTCTTTGTTCAGTTATTAATATTACTTTTACTGTTTGGTCTGTTTTCTGTGATATCCATTTGACGGGGCTCGGTACTTATACATCCCGTCAATGTGTTTGTATTATCTTTCATTTTTGCTGGTGTGTATGTGCGACTTTTTGTGTTTCTTTTGTTCATATGACGTGACTCTGTACTTTTAAAGATCCCGTCATTATGTTATTGTTCTATTATATGTCATTTTGTTATTGTTCTATTATAAATTTGAAAATACTTTGAACGACAAACGACAAAATAATTTTTCTCGCGTAGTGGTATTAACCATATGTGGATTCTTAAAAATTCTAAAGAACTTCTGGATAATTTTAAATCTCTGTCTGTTTCTGAAATTAGTTCTAACACAACTTTTGATTTTTTAACCCTGTATACCACCATTCCCCATGTGAAATTATATATATTTTTTTTTTTTTTTTAAAATACTTTGAACGACAAAATTTCTTACTATGTGACGTTTACATTTTCTGACGTCAGACACGCGAAGCAATGAATGTGGTTTTTAAATTTTAAAGAGGCTTAACGATGTTGTTGTCCATTCGTTTGATGTGTTTTATCATTTGATTTTGCCGTTTGATTAGGGACTTTCCGTTTTGAATTTTCCTCGGAGTTCAGTAATTTTGTGATTTTACTTTTTTTGTGCTTTTTTGTTAAATATTTGCTTGTTTTGAGATTTTACACAGTGATGACTGCTGTACCCATATTGTGACTATTTTACCTATTATGTCTGTTTTGTTCACGCATCGTTGTAAATACAACGGAATTTGATGCGACTGTCATACAAGTGAGAGGGTTAGCGCTATAAAACCAGGTTCAATCCACCATTTTCTACATTTAAAAATGCCTGTACCAAGTCAGGAATATGACAGTTTTTCCTTCGTTTGATGTGTTTTATCATTTGATTTTGCCATTTGATTAGGGACTTTCCGTTTTGAATTTTCCTCGGATTTCAGTATTTTTGTGATTTTACTTTTTTCTGTGTGCCTGTCCCAACTCAGAAACCTAGTACGTGTTCGACTTACACCTAATGGTTTTGCTATTTAAAACAAATTGTGTCGATTGCAGGGCATTGCTAGTTTCTGTCTCATTGATACTATTTTTAAGGGGGGTGCTGGTGTTGCTTCAAATATATTGTTCACATACCTTTTTATTGTTGCATATACTGTGTATTGATTTTTAGAGGTCTTTGATTTGTGCTGTTGTGTTTCCTGTAGCGTTAATCGTATTTATAAAAGAATTCACCCACATAACTTATGTTTTTCAGACTATATCTATACATTGTCTGTTACAAATGGTGGCGTTTTTGGGGATTGGACATACCAAGAATTTTGTACGAAAGGTCATTATGCCGTTGGTTACAAAATGAATGTATGTATGTTAAATGGTTACTATATTAAGCTAACGGTTTTTGATCGACGTCAATAGGAAGTACACACTACATGGTGTGGTGGCGGGAGAGTTTCATTTCTATACATTTTTTTTACATAGAGAAGTATCAAAAGCGAAAAAAGAAATTATTTATCTTTCTTTTTATTTTGACAGGAGGTATTAAGGGTTGATTAATGTAGTCGGTGGTTTCGTTTAGTCTGTGGGCTTTTTTTTTCGATACATGTAGCTGCTTCAAATGCCAATTTCGATAAAACAGAGAAAAACACTAACATCAAAAAGTTTATTTAAATCCATTTTTATTCAAAAATTAATGCTTAGTAATTCTAAAAAGAGAAACCATGCAAAATACATAATGAAGTTAGTTGATAAAGGGTAGGAAGAGTAAGCTGTAGAACTAAAGCCTGGCTCACTTCTTTGTAAGGATGTTCGCTCGTCTGTTTCAAAGGGACAAGCTTTTTAAAAGACTATTATAAAGTGATAGTTTTTGAATAATAGAAATAAAAAAGCAGAAAAAAACGATGGTCCGTGTCCTTGTTTTTGAGATATATATTCAATTGAAATTTGGCGGGAAATAATTCTCTCTAGATTTTTCTTACATTTAACATTGGCTCCTTTTCTCTCTCAAAACCTATGAAAAAATAGCAAGGATTGTATTAAAAAATTGCTTTTAAAACTAAATGTAATTAAATTATGAATAGAAAAGTAGAGGTTAGCGTGCATAATTTTTATTGGCACTTCATGGATAAAACTATAGGATTCCGAATACCTGACAAAACGACATAAACAAGAATAGCGAATATCGTTAAGAATATACTGATTGAGAGGGTAAATGCTTCCTGGTTTCGTCATGAATAAATTAAATACGGTTGCTCGCGTACTTAATTGATCTTTTCATCACCAATTTAAATCTTATTCTCCTCAAATTTTGATTTTAATCAATACTATACAATACATGTATAGCCTTTATATGAGGTTTATACGAGGTTATATCGACCTAAGAGAAGCACATTGATTGAGAACAAATTCCGAGGTCAATATACTTCTCTAGATAGATATAACGTCGTATTGACCTCACGCAAAGGCTACAATTGTTATATTATTAATTAAAAAACTATTACATGAACAATATGAAATTAGGGATTTTTATATTGTACTTTAATAACATGTTGTATGCACTTTGCAATACGCTGTTTTTGACCTACGAAAAGCTAAACACAACAGTATTGGCATGCAAACTGAGTACATACAAATGTACATGTGATCAAGTTTTCACCAATCACAAATCCTTAAAAATTTCGATTAATAATATTACTATATATTGCTTCTATCTGTCTTGGTATGCTCGAAAATTAAAATAAATAAGAAAATATGAATACATGTTTTTCCGAACGTTAAATCATCATATCATATATGCATACATATTATTATTAGTTACACAGTGCACTTGTGAAACAATACGATATATACCGGGTCAGTAAATTCCATATGGGTTAGAAGGTGTATATGTGGGAAGATAATATTATTGCTCGCGATCTTTTTTTTCTCTTCTTTGAATGACAGATTGAAGGGCCAGATGACGATAGAACAGAACTGAATGCTATCGAAATTATCTGTGGAAGTAGAGGGGGTGTTCGTTGTGGTGACACAGCAAGTTCTGGTCAGCAGAACTATGGAGATTGGACAGAGGAAGTATTTTGTCCAGCTAAAACATTGCTGGTCGCATTCTCTCTACAAGTGCATCAGTACAATGTAAGTTGTTTATGTTTAAACTGTAATATATATATATATATTGTGGACTGAAATTATCACGTGTCTAAATCCATTGTTTAGACTGTATAAATTACTAAACAATAAGCTATCAGGTTATATAAATATATATATATATCAATGATACAAAAAATGCCTTGTTAAAAGTAAAAACTCTCTAGTGGGTTTTTCATGCAACTTATTATTATAAGTTTTTCTTTAAAGTTTTGTATTTTTTTCATATTCCTCCAGGAAATGCAATTAGATTACTATACTGAATATATCAAAGAATAAATAGTTTTATTACATTCATTGCAATAAAATAAAAGGTTTCAAATCTTGCAATATTGTCTGTTTATCAACTAGAAAGTAAAAAAAAAAATACCGAACTCCAAGGAAAATTGAAAACGGAAAGTCCCTTATTAAATGGCAAAATTAAAAGGTCAAATACATAAAATAAATGGAAAACAACTGTCATATTCCTGACTTGGTACAGGTATTCCCATATGAAGAAAATGGTGGATTAAACCTAAAAATAATTCTCTTTTTTTTTTATAATCATAAAAGGGAATCACTCATGTAATGAATCTTCTGATGATTTGGATATACTGTCGATTTTGACATTCGGCGCATTTTTGTGAATTAAAGGTGTTCCGTATCATTATAAGGTTTCAACATACTCGACAATAATATGCATAAACCCATGTTAGGTTTAATTTTAGCCATGTTGGTTGAAAGAACGGTTTGCCATGTTGGTTGATAGACCAGTTTATATTTTTTCAAAAACTAAGCGATATTCATGTCAAGTTAGGTTTAAATTATTCCAGCACTTTCAAAATGAAAAAAAAATAGAAATCACTCACATTAACATTTGATTGACTTGATGTGATTTTCTTGTTTATCTTGCTTGCTGATTATTAAAATTATGTTCAATCTCTGTGTATCTATAATCGCTTTCAAGTTAATTGACAGAATCGTTGAAATTTGGGGGGGGGGACTCGTCATTAAAGAACAATGATTTCTATAAGAAGTCTGTTGATGATTTCAGTCATTGCATTTCCTTCAGGATAAGAAGATTGGAATTGTTTCCTGTTTGGTGATTCTGTAAATTTAGACACATTATTAACGTCAAGTCATAGATATAAAAAAAAATATCATTGATACACGGCTTATAATTTTGTATGCCAGACACGTATTTTATCTACAAAAGACTCATCAGTGACGCTCAAATTGAAAAGTCAAAATGTTAAATCAAGTAAGAAGTTAAAGAGCATTGAGGAACCAAAATTTCGAGAGCTTTTGTCAAATTCTAAGAATTTTCTACTCAAAGTACAGATTTCTGTTGGGGGGAAATTGTGTCCATTTAATAACCAAATTGTTTCATTACTACAAAAACTTTTAATTCATGAGTAAACTTAATAAATAATTTACTAATAACTGGCAATAGTAAAATTGCAAATTCTCTATTATCACTCAGATTTTGTTTTTAAATGTGCTGATTAAATTATCCACATGAGAGTATTAGCATCGAGTTAACCTTCATTTCGGTATGTAAAGGGATTTGCGTTGAAAATCTATTGCACCAGTAACTTAGTTTTTTGCTTTGTTTTTGGTTGTTTTGGTTGTGCGCATTTGGGGATTAATTATTTTTACGTTTGCTTGCAGCTTTTGATTACATTTGCGCGCATTCAATTTACAGGTAACACAGTAAAATAAAGATAATTCATAATAAATATAAATATAGTTAATATTAATTTTGAACAGTTCTATTTTTTTTTTTTATTATTTATTTAATTTTGTTAAAAACTGCTTCAATCTTAAATGGTCTCAAATTGGGTCCAAACAATTCCTCATGGGTATTAGAAGGCGCCAATGTACCATAACTTAGGGAATCATCTATATGAATTGAAAATGTAGTAGGATTCGATTCATTTGTAGGAAATGGAAAACAAACGATTTTTTCATTGAGTGCTCGGGTATTAACTTTTACAAAACAGATTTTTAGAGCTTACCTTTCGATAATAATGGTTTGCTGGATAAACTTATTGGCAATGACAAAAATATATAAAAAACATTATAACTATTTCTTAATTACTAGTAAGTTAGTTGCACAAAGTTACACAAGATCTTTGGATTTTTTTTTAATGGAATTGAAAAGAGAAAAAGTGATATTATTGCCAATGATACAAATCTCAATCAGAGACCAAAATGACACTAGGTGTAATACCACCAAATTATAGTACGTGACATCTGGTTGCATACGAAAAAGGGTCGAAAAAAATATTCCCTTGAATTTGACAGTTGTAGGAAATTAATCTTACATTTCATTGCAGTAAAAAATTTCTCAGTCATAAACATATATCTTGGGTGTTTCAAAGCACCATTATTTTTTTATTTGGTGTTTCTAAAAAATATTGTGGAAACTTGAGGGGTTACATGGTTACTAAAGCTTGTACACAGGAAAAAAAGGGTGAACATTTGATTGGTTAGCTTAGAGTTAAGGTTATTTTCGTATATGCAATGAAATGTTATGTGAAATTTTGTCTATAGTACCGGACAGGATACAACTTTACTCATGCAAAATATTTCTTTATTTGAAACGAAGATAAATTCTGCACAATTTTTTGAAAAGTTCAAATTTAACAAAGACTAGTAGGGGAAAATCAATAGTGGTATTACATCACAAAAGTTAACAACTATAGATCATCGTACGGCCTTCAATTATGAGCAAAACCCATATAACATAGTTAGCTCTAAATGGTCCTTTTTCAACTGTGTATAACGTATTTGGTATCGGTACAGTTTTTAATTAATATTTCAATCCTTTTGACAAATAGACATAAAATAACACAATGTTGAGTGCTGTACCCTTCTTTTTTTTGGACATTTTTACCTATTTTGTCTGTTTGTTTTTTTCACACATTGTTGTCAATAAAATGGAAGTACAGGTGAGAGGTTTAGCTAGCTATAAAACCAGATTTAATCCACCATTTTTTACATAAAGAAATGCCTGTACCAAGTCAGGAATCTATTCGTTTGATGTGCTTGAGCTTTTAATTTTGCCATTTGATAAGGGACTTTCCGTTTTGAATTTTCCTTGGAGTTCGATATTTTTGTTATTTTACTTTCAATTATCAAATTGACTTTTAAATGTGGATAAAGCAGAAAACGCAAGGAAATATTATTTTTTCTGTGCATTTTCTATTCGTTTAGCATGGGTTCCTTGCTCATCTGGCAAGATCCCAGGCTACAATTCCTTTTGAATTTAAGGCATCCACAAGGTCTTGACAAATCGCATTGTTGGACAGGGCCGCAAATTATTTCGAGGCATGTAGGCAGTTGCCTCCTATTGCGTGCCAACAAAAAAAATTATAACAAAGAGAGAGAGTAAGGAAACAAAAAGAAAAAAAATATTACACTTGATAGTTCTTGATTTGACACCGGACTTCGTAGTACATCTATCTTACCCGTAATTTCTACAAAAAATACATAAAATCGAAACCCTTTTCGGGATTGTTTAACAAACCGTTGAGTATTAAGCGTTAGTAGTATAGTATGAAACTGTTATGAAAAGACTAGGAAAGGTCGGTTCCTGTCAACACCAGTCATCGGATAGATTTTGTCTTCTTAATCATTAAGGTTTGAGTGATGCTAGAAAAAAAATCAAGAAAACCACAAACGCTTATTTCGTTTTTTCAACGGTTTTGACACTTTACGTACCGAGACTACTTATTGATTTTTAGCGAGAGTAACAGACAATTTTTGGAATTCTGTGGATCGAAGGAATTACTAAAAATGGATGACGTCAAAAGTGTGAAATTATCGGTTTTTATTTTACATTTACTGATCATGAAATCACGGCATTTCCTGTTTCCAATGTAATAAACCGACCGATCGGTCTCTTGTTATTGCTTATATCAACGTTATTTGAACTTTGGTGATGACTTGTCTAATTGGCAATCATACCTCCTTATATATATATATATATATATATACATGTTTATTACTTTTGACATATTATTTTACTAACGTATTCATATGTTTTCTCTGTTAAGCAGCGTGAAATCAGAATTTTCTTTTTTTTTCGATTTTTTTATAGAATGAAAGTGATAACACAGGTGCCAACTACGTCAAATTCAAATGCAGATATTTTAGAGATGACGTTGGTAACTTCGAACTGAGCTATCCTCCCGGGTATGGTGTGTACGGTTCTTATGGCGAGTGGAGTGAAGCTTGTCCAGTGAACAGTGCAATATGTGGTATACAAACCAAAATCCATGGAGGAAGTCCGTATGGACAAGACGATACTGCACTCAATGATGTTAATTTTTTCTGTTGTGAATAAAGGTCTACTGTCACTATAGCAACATGTACAATAATACAATAACTAATCACTTTCAATCCTTTAGAGTTTCGTAATAAAAGAAATTCATAATATTTAAAGATTGCTATCTAGCTATGTTGTATTCGTGTGTTATGGTAAAGATAATTAATCACCCAGTTCATTAATTAGATTTTAGTTTGGGTCAACTAAATTTATACGATATATTTGGTTTACAGTTTGATTTAGAAGAAACACCGACATAGCTAGTATACTATTAATTATCTAATAACTACCACATTTTATATTAATTAGTATTGTAATTTTCATTGTTATTAATAAATGTTATATGAGTATTATAAACCAAATCTTGAATGCTATCCTAATTCTATCCTATTTTGGGGAAATTTCAGAAATTCAAATGTGACATCACGTTTTTTGCGTTGATCTCTTTGGCTAACTCGGCTGTGAATTTTTATGTGCTGGTTTATGTTGTTTTATGTAACCGTTTTTATTCTGTAGTTAGTCACCACTTCGGTGTTATCATGTATATCTATTATATAGTCATTTGTATAAATTTACTGTTTGCAAAAGTATGAATCATTCTAAATACTAAGGATTTTCTTATCCCAGACATATAACCTTTGTCGTATTTGGCACAACTTTTTGGAACTTTTGGTCCTTAATGCTCTTCGACTTTGTACTTGTTTTGGCTTTCGAACTTTTTTGATCTAAGCGTGTCATGTTATCACAACATACTTATTTTTGATAATTCAAATTTCCCGCATTTTTACACGTGCTTTTACTGTTTGAAACACGTGTTATTTCTTATCAGTTTCATTTAGATTCCCACATGGCATTGTGAAGAAAGATTGTGTTTCGCTTTCGATATTTTCGATTTTCGTGCAATCTTTGGTAAACTACAGTGTGAGTTAATTTTTATATTATTTTATTTTATAACTTTAAGTAAATATTTCATATTTTTGATAAGTTTAAGCAATTAATTAAATACGTTTTCTTTGTTTGAACTGCCGATTAACGTGCACACAGGTCATGTTTGTTTACATCAGCATTTTGTATGTTTTGCATTATGTACACCGTTTATTTTAGAATAATTAATTATTTTAGCGTTAAAGTTAAAATATTATTCTTGCAATTGTATTTTTCTTATTAAATTTAAGCTAATTAACTTTTTAGTAGTACAGAGTTGCTAGCGGGTAAAAATCTATGGAACGCCGTTAGTGCCATCTTTACACCTGTATTTCTATTTTTATAATTTTTTACTTTTTGGAATGCAATTAATGCCAAAGTTATTTTACGTTAATTTTGCTATTTACTTCATGTTTGTTTATGTTTTGAACTTATAATTATTCAAAGGAATTTTTAAACTTAAAAATAAATGTATGGAGGTCAATGAGTGTCATTTTGACAATGTTTATTTTCTTGTAATTTTTCGGTAAATTACGGCATTTGAGTTTATGATTTTTATTTTTCTCTTTGTAGCTTTTTACTATATGTATTATGTGATTATCTGCAACGATGAAGCATATTAATAAAGAATTTGAAACTAACGTAGTTTGAAGACTTTAAAAAGCGTCACTGGTTAGTCTTGTGTGGACGAAACGCGCGTCTTGCGTATTAAATTTAAACCTGGTACCTTTTGTTAGCTAGTATTCGTATGTTTCTCTGTCCTATATGTTCTCCCATTTATTTATATTGTAGTCCTGTCATGTAATGTTGTCATTTTAATGTTATATTTAACATTGCCATAAAAGCGGGAGGTTTGGCTAGCCACAAAACCAAGTTAAACCCGCCATTTTTTTCTTAAAATGTCCTGTACCAAGTCGGGAAAATGGCCATTGTAATATTATAGTGTCTGTGTGTGTTACATTTTAATGTTGTGTTTCTGTTGTGTCGTAGTTCTCCTCTTATATTTGATGTGTTTCCCTCAGTTTTAGTTTGTTACCCGCATTTGTTTTTTTTTTCAATTGATTTATGAATTTCGAACAGCAGTATACTACTGTTAGTATTGAGAATGCCTTTATTTAGACTAAAGTGTCTTCTTTTGAGAGTCATTCTCTGTAGGTATCAAAATATGCTGGAAATGGATCTTCACAGATCTTAATAATATTTGGTACAAATATAGTGTACTAAGACCCTTTTATCATGGTACCATTAAAAAATAATTTTATTTATGTGTTTCCATAGTAACAGGCCCCATATTTTCATTTATTTATATGAATTCCAGTAATCTCAATTATCACCAATAATTTGTTAACTGTTTGTTTAATTTACATGTCTTTTATGGAAAGTGTTTGTTTTTGCAATAAATCACATAAAGTTATTTCCTTATTTTATCATTCGGACTGCAACGCCCATAATAAAATTACAAAGTCATAAAAAAGGGCCCTGAAAGTGAAGAAAATGTGAAAAATGACCTGGTAAATTGTTTTGAAACGCAGCTATTGTTGGCAAACTTGGCAGCTTTACTTGTAAACCTGGGGCCAGTATCATGAAAACCTATCTTAAGTTTCATTTAAGAGAAAACTAACGAACGCTTTGCGAGAAAGTTACGATGGTGCTAAGAGCTTATCTCCAATCCCCTCGTGGATTACTCTTAACAATTTTACAGCTATCTTAGCATAAACTTACGACTGCGAGTTAAGATATTTTCTTATCGCCTTTTTCGAAGTGACCGCCTTTGATTTTTGAAGAGAATATTAGAATTCAATGCAAAATCGATAATAAAAGTCATCTGTGCGTTTAATAGAACGGTCGAAAAACATACTTATTACTAAATTAGTTACACCACTGTCCCAGGTTAGGGGAGGGCAGGCGCCTACAAACATATTTAACCCCGCCACATTCTATGTGATCCTATATGTGCCTGTCCGTTGCTCGGTCCAACGTCATTAGTTGATTATTGAGCTTTGGGTGTTATTGAGTGGTTGTCGTTTTTTGCTCATATGGTTGTCGTTGGTACATGTCTGTCATATATATTTTTCGTAAATTGTTTTGTTATAAATTAGGCCTTAGTCAGTTTTATCAATTGAACATATTCATATTTTTCTTGTCTATTCCTTTTATAGCCGACTTTACGGTATGGGGTTTTCACATTTTTGAAGACCCTACGATTACCTATTATTGCTTACATCTACTTCATTTGAACTTTGGTGGATAGTTGTCTCATTGGCAATCATACCATTTTCCTTATTTTTATATTAAAGAAATATTTTCAAACATAGAATAAAAAACAAAAATAGCAGAAGGAGGTGCTTCAAACGGTCCGAAGAAAACAAGGGACGATTTTTCTTTCCCTATTGTTAATTTTCCGTTTTTTGACGGTGATGTTTCTTTGGCACCGTCTTGCGGTGTTTATATTTCCAAACCCGTTCACTATATGTCCTTGTCTGTATTGACTAAGATTTCAATGAACGAAATCTATGTATTACTGGTAAGTTATTAAGTCAAGGATTTCTTTGCCACAAATTACTTAAAACCTTTACTATTTTTTTCCATAGATACACAGATTTGGTTTGCGAGTTTGGCTTTACCTGTAGAAAACTTATTTCAAACAAAATAGCACATCCTAATTTTTACGATGATGTTGTTTGAGGGTTGTGATGGGGGTACCTTCATGACGAATAATAAAGGTAAAAAGTCCTGCCAAATGACGTTAACGGTAATTTTAATGCATGACGATAAAATGTACATTTTCTTTCGGTAGCCGAAAATGACCATTTGACGTCTGACGTTAAAGGGCATTCCTACCGTCTTGTTAACCGAGCCTGAAAATCAAAATACGATCCGGGTAAACTTATAAGGACTTATCACTCCTTGAAATAAACTTATTCTAAAAAGGTTACCAATTCAACATTTAAATTATTATACCTTTGATATTGTTTTATTGGTATAAATATTGATTTTGTTATCAGTAAATTAAAATCATACTAAATACTATTGTTATACACATATGCACTTTCACGGTACTAGAATCTGTCAGTACATATTGTTTTGCATTGCAAAAGGTCATGTGTTTCTCTGGCTGTTAATGATGTCTTTACTCCAAATCCATTGGATGTTGGATGTGTACTGACTGATATTTTAGTCTTAGATACATGATTTTTTTATTAGTTGTTATTGGCTTTGAACTAGCTGTCAGTAACTTCGAGTATCCTCAGATCTGTACTTTGTGTCTTTTTTGTTGTTAGGGATATAAAAATACCCTGCCACATCCGGTTTATGTATTTGTTAGCTGTTTTTCTGCTTTGTATTGGTCTGATGAGTTAAGCCTTTTTTAACTGATTTTCAGGGTTTGTTCTTTTGTTGTGCTGTAACTCCACTGTCTCAGGTTATGGGAAGGTTGAACACTTTCAAACATGTTTAACCCCGCCAAATTCTTTATGTACCTGTCTCAAGTCAAGAGCCTGTAGTTCAGTGGTTCATATCTGTCATATATGTTTTTCGTAAATTGTTTTGTTATAGATTAGGCCGTTGGTTTTCTCAATTGAATTGTTTATATTTTTTCATGTCGGGGCCTTTGATGTGTTTTATCATTTGATTTTGCCATTTGATTAGGGACTTTCCGTTTTGAATTTTCCTCGGAGTTCAGTATTTTTGTGATTTTACCCTTTAATAGCCGACTATATGGTATCGGTTTTTGTCATTGCTGAAGGGCGTACGATTGCCTATAATTGCTTACAACCACTTCATTTGAACCTTGTAAGATCGTTTTCTCATCGGCAATCATATCACATCATATTATTATAAGAAAAGCCAACATTAATAAAGATGAATCGTAAACAATGCTGACAGTTATTCAGATGAAAAACAATTCTGTTACATGTACTCGGGACATTTTCCGATTTTGTAATCACGGACAATCCTACTGTCGTCTAGGAAATCCAATGGATGTGTTCGATCGCTGCACATCCTTATGAATATCCTATTTTGCTCTTTTGGACGCACAAGCAAGAACATTGCTAGCGCCATTTTTATCAACTAAGAGAGAGAGAGATAGGGGTGACCCTGACCACTCTTATACATTTCGGCTTTAAATGACTCAAAGGTTATTTTTTTCTTGCAATGTAAATTACGTGAATGTAGCTAAATGACAATTTGGCTTGACACAATGTTTGGCTTGACACAATGTTTGACTTGACACAATGTTTAGCTTGACACAAGGTTTGGCTTGACACAATGTTTATAAGTGTTTATATATTTTGCAAGTCAATTGCTATTAATTATGATTAATCAATGAATAGATATGTTTGGAGAGTAAACATTAATGGGACAGCATTGAAACAAATCAAACAAAATAAAGTAAAAAAGAGTTTAACATCTTAGAGATGTTTCAATTGGTTTAAAAAAAACAAGATAGAGAAATTGTTCATCTTAATATTTTCAGCAGAAGATTAAACATGCATTATAGGTTCCTATCAACATTCCGATATGTTTTTATAGTAGTAATAACTTTACTGCAAATTAAACAACGTACGTGTTAGGCAAGACGTATCAAAAACACAGTACATTACTTACAACTACAGGTATTCACTACATATATGAATATATTCTAATGAAAGTGGTTTTCAATCTCATTTATAAGTTTTCGACTTCAGTTACTAATTTGTCAGTTAAGGGTGATGCTGATGATGTTGTATAACTGATTAACGTCTAGCGGCAAATTAATATGTTAATGTAATATGAATATTTACTCTGCTTTGTACTAGACCGCCACGCTAAGCCGGATTTATAACGTCCTATTTTTCATGTCGGGGCCTTTTATAGCCGACCATACGGTATGGGATTTTCTCTTTGTCGAAGGTCGTACGGTTGCCTATAATTACTTACATCCACTTCATTCGAACTTTGGTGGATAGTTGTCTCATTGGCAATCATACCACATCTCTATATTTTAATATTATATAGCTCAAAAGGTAACAGTCTGCAGGAAGACATGTCACCTTACCCGGACACATTATTCCGACTCCGAGCCAACCAATCTTTGCTCTTACTCCTTAATGCCGTGTGCTGGCGGAGAAGCAGCAAATACCAATTTTAAAGTCTTTGGTTTGACCCGGCCGAGGTTCGAACCCACGACCTCCCGCACTCGAGGCGAACACGATACCACGGAGCCGATGTCGATTAAGGAAAACGTGTTCCTAGGAGTCATCTTACTATTTTACAAACTTTACAATCTTTTATGTCTATATTCTCTTGGAATTTTTGTTTACCCTACTGGTATTAAACAAACAAAAGCTTTACCCTACTGGTATTAAACAAACAAAAGCTTTACCCTACTGGTATTAAACAAACAAAAGCTTTACCCTACTGGTATTAAACAAACAAAAGCGTCTTTTCTTTCCTCTAAACCTTTCTTCAAATATCTCCAAATACACAACAAACTTAACTGTTTTTTCATCAATGTACAACATGTGTTCATACACTTTGACCGTATATGTATACAGCTTTATACATATATGCTTTTGATAAATAGTTTATTTGGACCTATTTCGATTAAAAATATAAAAATAAGAAGATGTGGTATGATTGCCAATGAGACAGCTCTCCA